ATTTTAGGGACACTAATTAAGTGTGCGGACTTAATAATAAAATGCCTTTATATAGCCTATAACTTTAGTGCTACAGTGGCATTACTGTATACTGTTAATATCTGTCCCACCTACAGCACATTTGCGATATTGCACTAGTATTATTGTTACTATTTAAAAAATCAAACTAATATTGTATTGTCTTGGTGGAGAAGAATTTTAATTCAGTTAAAGTAATATAATCACAGTGTGTACATACTCTGTAACACTAAAGGTACTGCATTTACATTCTCATATGCTTATTACAAGTACTCGTTATGCACTAGGCTATGCCCTATTTTGGAAAAATACATATTATAACACTTCATAATAATATAGGAGCAAGCAATATAGATATTGCTTGAAATAAATGAAGTATTGACTTTAATACACTGATATACTTAAGCAATAGCTCACGACAGGCCGTGTCGTGTTTATAAAACGGTTACCAAGTGTGGCAATATGAAAGAAAAATACACACTCTAATTTAAATAGTTTTTATTAGTAAATAATGATGTTCAAAATAAAATAGTCCCTCCGTTGCCTTCTGCACGAAACATAGTGCGAGGTGGTTGCTATGCAACAACACTAACAACAGCTAGCGAACATATTAGACAGAGAGCGTTGATCCATTATTTGGCTATTTATTTACATTCATTTGTATGTTGCCGTTTATTGTGCACCCACTGAAAAACTGTCCAGCATCAGTAGAATGGCTTACGTGGTTATAGGTTGAGGTTGTTCTAGGCTGTTGCTTGGCGTGGCGAGAATATTGCTCCACTTTCTCCGGTCCCCGAGATTCGGCTTCCAGTAGCTCTGGAGAGAGCTTTCGCACCTGTGGCCACTAACGGTCATCATTTCTCAGCTTTCTAATTTAATGTATTGAAGACAAAGATATTTGACACATAGTGAGAAAGAAGAGATGCAATATGCCAGATTATAGATTATAGCTAATAGCTCATTTCCATCTGTGGTATTTACAGTTTTAATGATAGTCTGGTTATTATGCTGTTTGGAGGAGGCCTCACAGGTAAGAGCACTAACTAGCTACCATCACATGTACCTTAGCTTGACTTAAATGTATTAAACGTATAACTAAGTGATATCAAAATATAAATAACTAATTTCATGCAAACATTAATATTTGCTTGATTCCAGTGTTGAATTTAGCACAATTGCATATAAACGTTAAGGGATTTTAAGATTCTGAAGTATTATGCTAAAAACTCAATAACTTAGATTATTATTTATAGTTTTGCTGAATAGTTTCATGTCCGCTTACCTTAGAAACGTAAAATGCGACGGCAGTGTAGTGTGCAGATGGGGAGCATGTTAGCTTAGCTTGGTAGCTTCAGCTAGCTCTGGAACTTCCAGCTCGGTGGCAGGAGGTCACAGAAAGAGTTCAACTTTGAACTATGTGTAATCAATAATATCTTCCGCTATGTTGGGCGGTTTACTATAAATGTCAGACAGATATAAAACGTTACAGCATTAGCATGAGCTAACTTTAACAACGGGACGGATGCGGCGGAATCTCGGACTAAACACGGTGACAACTATTATATATATATAAATTACTTTCCATAACATGCCCAGATGAACATATCATGCCCAGCTTTCAGATAGAGTATTATCGCCTAATTAATACAAGTTCATTGTTATTACCTGTTTTTTTTTTCTTCTTGCGAACGCTTGGAGATTGAGAGGGTGGTGCGAACCTTTTGCCCCATGTCACGTGTAGGTGTAGCTGCCCTATGGGCATAGATATGTCTCATAATTATTTGTGTGAACATAAAAATTATTTGTGTGTAAATATGTGATTTGGAAATGTAAAACACAATCCACAAATGCATTTAAAAGATTTGCAAACTCACAAATAAATTTGCAAATGTAAAACGGATCTGCAAATACGCTAAATATGTTCACAAATAAAAAAAAGATCTGTGAATATCTCTTTAACATTTACAACTTTCGATCAGGCATTTGTGAATCCATTTTGTATTTGTCGACCAAAAATGCGCTTGTGGATCTCAACTCTCTGCTCGTGGATCTCACATTTCTGCTTGTGGATCGTCTTTTTACACACACGGAATTTTGAGACAAACTTTCCTCTGGTCTCAGCTAAAATCTACTCGTGTAACTCGGTTATTTTCGGAAACCACGTGATGGCCTGCTGATGACGACATTTCCGCATGATTTCAAAGTAAGAGCATGATGGCTTGTTTAATGCTCTGTTTTTTTATTATAATGAACAGCGAAACGTTAGATGCAATCTTTATCACCATCATCATCATCATGTTATGGTGATACAGTTAGTTTGTGTTAGTTTATTGGTTCAATACAGCATATATCGAGCACTTTCGTAGGCATTGATGTTGAAGTACAGGCTACGCCACTTCGGTCCCGGGGGAGCAGCTGGCAGCGAAGCAGCCCAGAGGAAACTCTTTCTTCATTGTTTTTTGTGTATTCAGTCAAAGTTACAAAGCACTTCACATTTTATTAATCGGCCTAATTTTACCTTACCAGTGCAGTAATAAAGTAATCTGTAGAAAAGCACCGTATTTAGTTCAGCCTTCATAGTAAGGCTACATTAAATGTTATAATATTCATCGTGTCCTTTCTACTGTATATGCATATATTCCTGTCTATTGCTTTCATTTGTGTTTCATGTTATTATGTTTATACTTGTTTCCACACATTTCACAATTTGGGATGAATGAAGTATCTATCTATGATATCTATCTATCTATCTATCTATCTATCTGTCTGTCTGTCTGTCTGTCTGTCTGTTTATCTATCTATCTATCTATCTGTGATATACATCTATGATATCCATCTATTTATCTGCCTGTCTGTCTGTCTGTCTATATCTATCTGTCTATCTATCTATCTATCCATCTATGATATCCATCTATCTATCTGTCTATCTATCTATCTATGATATCCATCTATGATATCCATCTATTTATATGTCTGTCTGTCTGTCTATATCTATCTATCTATCTATCTATCTGTCTGTCTGTCTGTCTATATCTATCTATCTATCTATCTATCTATCTATCTGTCTGTCTGTCTATATCTATCTATCTATCTATCTATCTGTCCATCTATGATATCCATCTATCTATCTGTCTATCTATCTATCTATGATATCCATCTATGATATCCATCTATTTATATGTCTGTCTGTCTGTCTATATCTATCTATCTATCTATCCGTCTGTCTGTCTATATCTATCTATCTATCTATCTATCTGTCTGTCTGTCTATCTATCTATCTGTCTGTCTGTCTGTCTGTCTGTCTGTCTATATCTATCTATCTATCTGTCTGTCTATCTATCTATCTATCCATCTATCTGTCTGTCTGTCTGTCTGTCTGTCTATATCTATCTATCTATCTATCTATCTATCCATCTATGATATCCATCTATCTATCTGTCTATCTATCTATCTATGATATCCATCTATGATATCCATCTATTTATATGTCTGTCTGTCTGTCTATATCTATCTATCTATCTATCTATCTATCTGTCTGTCTGTCTATATCTATCTATCTATCTATCTATCTATCTATCTGTCTGTCTGTCTGTCTGTCTGTCTGTCTGTCTGTCTGTCTATCTATCTATCTGTCTGTCTGTCTGTCTGTCTATATCTATCTATCTATCTGTCTGTCTATCTATCTATCCATCTATCTGTCTGTCTGTCTGTCTGTCTGTCTATATCTATCTATCTATCTATCTGTCTGTCTGTCTATCTATCTATCCATCTATCTGTCTGTCTGTCTGTCTGTCTACCTACCTACCTATCTGCCTGCCTACCTACTTACCTACCTACCTACTAGTTGTTTTGTTTGGAAAGGTTGTCATTGTATTGCTCTTTACCAGCACCTGCAGAGTACAGGACTTTACATTGTAAATATTATATCAATCCTATAATATTGGTTTCTAGCATATATCATTTGCAAGTGTTTAAAACAAATGTGGGATACTGATTTCATAAAAAGAAAGACATTCATGATTGTCATATTTTATTATGTAGGATACAGGACTGGACTGTAGTCAAGTAAACTTACTTTACTTATTAGTATTTCCATTTTATGGATTAAGAGGGAATTATTCTCACTTCATTTATGCAACAACTTTATTTAATTTTATGATTAGATTGTTTTGCTTGTATCATCCTTTGCAAATACATAGTCACAATGCTGGAAACAGGGCTGTTTCTCTGAGAAACGTAGATAATCACTTATGAGAATATAATGCATTGGTATACATTAAAGGTGGGGTAGGTAATTTTGGAGAAACCAGCTTGAGTGCGGAGAATTTGAAAATAGACAACCGGAGAAAATCTGCCACTTCCTTACGGCCCCTACACACGGCGGCGTGCGTTGACGCTTCAACGCTTCTGCCCATTCACTTTGAATGGGGTGACGTCACGATTCGCCGAACTGCATTCTGGGAGCAAAGCGTAGCTTTTCTCGCGGTGCTCGCTGCAAAAGTAGTTTGTTTCCGCAAACTCTTGTGTCCTGCAGCAGCTAAAAGTTTTGCAAGCCCCCGTTCGTTTAGTACCTAAAATAATAGACATCGCTTTTTCCAGCTGACAAACCCGACTTTCTGGTCACTTCTTCAATTTTCCAGCCCTTGGGGAGAGACACGGGAGATTCATGTGATTGGTTGTTGCTCGCGTAAACTCCCCAAGCTCAAGACACGCCCACCGCCAAGCGGCAACGCACGCCGCCGTGTGTAGGCTGCGTTACAGAGTCCCTCCTCCAACACACACAAACGCGCACATGACCAATGAGGGCATGAGATAAGTTTGTGCACAGATGGAAGGCTGACAGGCAGGTAGGCCATCCAGTTATTTTAGCCGGGCCGGCTAAAATGATTGGTCGTGCTTTTTACAGTACTACGGCTTCCACAGATGATATTTTTTTATGGATTTTTTGTCAAAGCACTTAAGATATTCATTGCTATCGGGATGTTAAGAGCATTCCATGGAATATAACAAAAAGTGTATCTCGAGCCGGTTTCTCAAACTTACCTACCCCACCTTTAAACTAGCCAACAGTATAAAAAGCACTACAAAGTTTCGTCAATATTAACCATAAACATCTACATTAGTGAAATGACACATACACATTAATGCAGCTAATCAAAACGCATACAGAGAACCTTTAAAAGCATAATGAGTACTTCAAATGTAAGTCCATTTTGCTCATAGTACTTACATACCTTTACTTAAGTGACTATAAAGGCAAGACTTTTACTTAAGTCAAGTATCTGAATACTTTGTCTGCTACTGGTAGTCCATGGATCCATTGCTCTTAATTTCCAGTTGTAAAGAGAACCAACCGTAATGTGTTCAAGTAGATGTCCTTTCCAAAGGAATCTGATGGTAACATTGGGTCAATATTAGCATTAAGGTGTTCCATCTGTTGATCACTCAGAGGACTCCGGGTGACAGGAACAACTATTCCTGAGTGTTCCTCACGCAGATGACCACTGGCCTCCCAGTCAATGTAGGGGATCTGTAATCTCTGTGTCACAAAAAACAAAACAGTTTTTTTAAAATATGTATACTTTTCTTCCGCTGTTATGTACCGTTATAATTGTATACAAAAGAAGAATAAAGAAGTATCACTACATTCCTATGCATTTATTCCTCCATGCACATATCCCATACAAATTATGATGTTATTACCTCAACATCATCAGGATCATGAATGGGACTATGCAGTTCTCCCATTGCCCACATCTGATTTGGAGTCATGTTCTGCTCAGTCCTTAAAGGATGGTTGTCCCAGCCATCACGGAACACTTTCAGGCTGTGTTGAAGACGTGGCAGGAACACATAGTGGCAACAGAATAAATGGGTACTGTTGCTGGGATCCAAATGCCCTTCATCCTCCAGTGAGTGCAGGACAATGTAGAAGATGCTGGTGACTGCCATCCAGACATCTCTCCACAACCGTTCAATGCTAGTGTTATACAAAATTAAATAATGGGGTTTAGATTTCAACATTTTCAGCACAGCATGTGGAAAAAAATATAAAAATATTTCAATGTATACAAAAATCAAAAGACATGCCCTACCGTTGATTGTGCACACTTTTGCCTGAAATGAAGCTGCCACTGTTAGGCCCACGCACAGTCAACATGAGCTCCGCCACCCCACAATTCTCCACACCATGGTCTGCTCTCACTCTAAAGAAAAGTAATCTTCATGAAATGTACAAGTTATCATTTCATGTAAAAAGGATTCTAAAAAGCAGGTATTACAAAAACCACCCATTTGATTTTGTTAGAGGAAGGATAGATTAATATTGCTGACTAATCAAGATAACAGGTTAGGTGAATATATTCGACAATACGACATACAGTTCCCCATAACCTCAATCAGTAACCTGTTCTGTGTGATTACGGCATTTGGTTCACCATCTGTCACTTTAAATGTAGGGTTCTGCCACCAGGTGGTGCTACTGTTACCTCACCTCCACTTTAGACATATATTTGTACCTGAGTGGGTATCCAAACTGTTGGACAGACTCTCTGAAGAATGCCAGTGTAGTAGAAGAACAGTTGTCATTTGATGTTCCAAGGTACATGATCTATATCAGGGAGACACAATCAATTCATTTATTTATTTTTAAAGCTGAAAGGAATACTAATAGCGGTCAGATTATTGAAGTCGGAGAGGTTTGGTGTAGTACATAATGTGTGGATTTGCTGTTAACTGGATAAAAACATTAGCATTTCTCATATGTATATAAATGTGTGTGTGTGTGTGTGTGTGTGTGTGTGTGTGTGTGTGTGTGTGTGTGTATAGATTTTTAAGTATTGTAACACACCTTTCTGGAGAAGCCATCAATGCCTCCAAAAATGACAATGTTGTAACTGTAAAAAGAAAAAAACAATTGAAGCATATGTTTAAATAAATCCCAATATTACTTACAAAAACATATCCTGACCATAGCAATGGCAAATAAACACAACATTGAATTTCTATAAATAATCACTTCGAACTTATCGGATAAGTTTATGGTTGGTATCTATGTGCACCAGATATTTGGGACACGGTACAGAATATGTGCGTCTTACCACACAACCCAAACGTGTTAGTCTTGACAAAACACCAAGAGTGTCTACACGGTGCATTGATGCCCTGACCCGGTCCCACTGTACTCTGTGTCCTTGTGTGAGAAGAGCCCCTTTCACCAAGCGGTATCCAGAATTAGGCATTGTTGTCTTGATGGTTGACACCATTTCGACAGACAGACAGATGGATATCATAGATGGATATCATAGATGGATAGACAGATAGACAGATATGATAGACAGATAGATACAGATAGACAGAAAGATAGATAGATATCATAGATAGATACTTCATTCATCCCAAATTGTGAAATGTGTGGAAACAAGTATAAACATAATAACATGAAACACAAATGAAAGCAATAGACAGGAATATATGCATATACAGTAGAAAGGACACGATGAATATTATAACATTTAATGTAGCCTTACTATGAAGGCTGACCTAAATACGGTGCTTTTCTACAGATTACTTTATTACTGCACTGGTAAAGTAAAATTAGGCCGATTAATAAAATGTGAAGTGCTTTGTAACTTTGACTGAATACACAAAAAACAATGAAGAAAGAGTTTCCTCTGGGCTGCTTCGCTGCCAGCTGCTCCCCCGGGACCCGAAGTGGCGTAGCCTGTACTTCAACATCAATGCCTACGAAAAGTGCTCGATATATGCTGTATTGAACCAATAAACTAACACAAACTAACTGTATCACCATAACATGATGATGATGATGGTGATAAAGAATGCATCTAACGTTTCGCTGTTCATTATAATAAAAAAAACAGAGCATTAAACAAGCCATCATGCTCTTACTTTGAAATCATGCGGAAATGTCGTCATCAGCAGGCCATCACGTGGTTTCCGAAAATAACCGAGTTACACGAGTAGATTTTAGCTGAGACCAGAGGAAAGTTTGTCTCAAAATTCCGTGTGTGTAAAAAGACGATCCACAAGCAGAAATGTGAGATCCACGAGCAGAGAGTTGAGATCCACAAGCGCATTTTTGGTCGACAAATACAAAATGGATTCACAAATGCCTGATCGAAAGTTGTAAATGTTAAAGAGATATTCACAGATCTTTTTTTTATTTGTGAACATATTTAGCGTATTTGCAGATCCGTTTTACATTTGCAAATTTATTTGTGAGTTTGCAAATCTTTTAAATGCATTTGTGGATTGTGTTTTACATTTCCAAATCACATATTTACACACAAATAATTGTTATGTTCACACAAATAATTATGAGACATATCTATGCCCATACTGCCCTGTCATTGGTCGGTTAGGACCTGTTAGGACTTGGGTCGGAAAAGTGTTAGGACTTCGTTAGGAACGGTTAGGAACTGTTAGGAACTGTTAGGACTTTGTTAGGAACTGTTAGGAGTTGTTAGGAATTGGTAGGACAGTCAAAACGGCGGAGGTGGCGGCCACGACAACTGAGAGTCGGTCAGTGTATGTTTTGGTCATTGGATTTTCTTTTCACAAATGGAAATTCAAAAACAAAAAACGACTGGATATTTGATTTTCGTTTTAAAATTGAAAAACCAAAATTGAAATACAAGGCGTTTTTCTTTATCATGGTCAAAAAGGGATTTACTAAACTTAAAAAACGGGATGATTTTCATTTTCTACTTCTCAAAACAAAAAATAAAATCACGAGAAAACAGAAAAAAAAAAAAAAAACGTTTTTTCATATTCTGCTACCGGAAGTTATCTTTCAACATAAGAGCGCAGATGAGGACGGTCAATCCGTGTATCTACGGTCCATTTGTTTTCACAACGAAAACAGCCAAGACACATATTGAGCCCAGAAAATTAATGTTATTAAGGGCTGTAAATATAATAGGCCTATGTCTAAAATGGACAACATTGTTAGGAGATTTAAACTATACAGCGATTCTGCACTGCGGTCAACTCAGCCGTCTCTCGAGTTTGTTATAATTTGTTCTGCCATTAGTTCTTCGTGAGATCGATCCTGTTGGACTCAGTAGGCTAGTAGTGAAACTACTCCCACAAGTACTATGAAGTACTTACTGTGTACTTTTTGAGTAATCCTCTGTCAATGTCCCCTCCTGAGAACAAGAATGCATGTTTCTCTGCTATTTTGAATCAGCGTTAAAACACCTTTCTTCATGAGACTGATATTGTTGGACAGAGTATTTTAAGAGGATATGGTAGACATGATATCAGCAATACTTCCAGTCAGTAGTCCGGCAGCAGCATTTTTACCCCTTGGAAAGTCTTGCCCGCTATTTAAATTGACTTTGATTGAAGTTAATAACAATATTGATATTATATAGATATATAGATATAGCATATTTGATGCAGTCTTTCTGAACACTTTTAAAATAAAATTCTGCAAATTAAGAATATTTGTAATGTTCTGCACAGATAGTGCCTTAACTTGAATTTGAAAACACGTGGCAGCTTTATTAATACAGCAGATGAAAAGATTTGTGGAAGGATACATTCTTCATGGGCTTCAATGGCTCTCTAGATAAAGGGCGTTTTATGGTTGCTTGTATTATCCTCAGATAGTGGTTTGTTTAAATATCTAGTGACATTTGAATAAATATTGCAAAAAAGGGCTCCAAAAAAGGCATATATCCTGGCCGGCTTAGCCAGTGTGTATTTTTTCAAGCACCACAAGATTCATAGTTTATAAAGTACAATTCTGGGCCATTGATTGTGTCATTTCTCCAAACTCATACAGTAAAAATGGCTGTTTTTGAAGCCTTAAAATGGTGCAGGAAAAGGACTTTTCATTGTATTATACTTAAAGACAGGACTATTCAGTTAAGAGAAGAGAAAAAAGGAAAGAAAACTGTTATAATGGGTGATGTAACATTAATGACAGACATAATATGAGGTCCTTGGCACACATTTTGTGATCATGGGGCATCACCCTTACAGCATCAGGACAATATCATATGGAGTCAGACACTGGAAGTGTGCTGGAGGCGTTGACTGGGACTGATGGAAGGATGAGGCTGATGAGACTGAAGAATCTGCGAGGAACGAATTAGCGGCTGAGAAATAGTTATATATTAAAAGACAGCAGCATCATAAGAGGGCAACCAGAGTGACAGAGTGTGTTACTTTGCTGAAGGATATTACTACTAACAATACATTGAAGTAATTTTACTGTGTACTTTTTGAGAAATCCTCTGTCAAAGTCCCCTGCTGAGAACAAAATCAAGCCACTTCTGCTAAGTTTGATGAGGGAATTATTTTTTGTTGCCATTAGTTCTTCGTGAGATTGATCCTGTTGGACTCAGTACTACTGAAACTACCCCCACAAGTAGCTACTATGAAGTACTTACTGTGTACTTTTCCAGTAATCCTCTGTCAATGTCCCCTCCCGAGTACAAGAATGCATGTTTTTCTTTTAATAAGCGTTAAAAAACATTTCTTCCTGAGACTGATATTGTTGGACAGAGTATTTTAAGAGGATGGTAGACATGATATCAGCAATACTTCCAGTCAGTACTCCGGCAGCAGCATTTTTACACCTTGGAACTTCTTTAGAGACTGGCCTGGATAGGCTACTATGGAGGGGACTCTGACAGAGGATTACTCACAAAGTACACAGTAAAAGTACTTCATTTCATTTCTGGTAGTGTAGCACCCATAAGGTTGAGGTTGTCTATCTGCACATGCAAGTTTATACCACAAGGGGGCAGATCACCTGATGGTTCATCATTGTTTTATGCTGGAGATGAACAGAAGAAGTGTGTCTGTGTGTTGTGCTTTGAGATCGTTTGAGATGCTGACATCTTGCACATGTGCCTTGTGGACAGTGGCGGCGCCAGGGTATTTTTGTTGGGTAATCTATGGTAGGGCTAACCCATACAGTGGTGGTGCTCAAGTCAGTATTTGCAATTTAATTACATACACGCTATATCGCACCCCGTGAAACAGTAATGCCACACGTGAGGTTTAGATTATTTCCCTTTCTCAATCAAAATGGAACTGTATGAAATAAAACGGCACATTTGTCTTATAGTAAATAAAAAGGGATCACTGTGAACGGACGTATGATAGTACACGTTGAAGATCCAATAGGGATACTGAATGGCGGTTCCGATTGATCTCAATCAGTAATGCATGACGCAGACCCAACGTTTCGTTGCTCTGATTGGCTGTAGGTCTATTCAAATTGCATTCGGAGGCATTTTGATCTGACCGCGGCCGCGCTGATATTATAACGCCAGAGAATTTCCACACCTTTAGTGTATAAAACTCCCCCACTACTTAGACTATTCCTTGCACCCCTCTTCTATAAGCCCGAATGGTCTCAACCATATTGCATCAGTAACGTGCACTTGTTGTTACAGCAGGATCAGTTTGTGTGTTGTGGACACGACCCGTATATTTTCGCAATCCGTGTTCTCAACATTTTGCATTTAGCTTATTATTTAATTGAATTTGCTTACTTTAACATCACTTTTCATGGTGGGGCTAAGGTGGGGCTAAGCCATTTCTTGGTATGGCTGTAGCCTACCCCAGCCATACCCTGGCGCCGCCACTGCTTGTGGAAGTTAATAAATGAACGTTTTCTACACCTATACACAGTGTTACACTGTGAACCTCTGTCGCCTGTCAGCGCAACTTACATGATGCCGTTTAAAACCATAGACTGTATATATAAAGTTTAAAACATATAATAATAAAGGGCGGTGCCGGCCGTCAGCGAACCGAGCCGGCCTTTCTCCGCATCTGATTCATGTCATAAATCAAATTTTAGAAAAGCGTTTTAGCCAATCAAAATGAAATATGCGGGACATCGTCTCAATTTGCGGGACGCACCAAAAGTCGTGAAAATGCTGTGCAATAC